TATTTGCATATTTATAAGGGAATGTAATCGCAGAGCTCGGTTTTCGCCGCTCGTCGCTCGCTACCGTGGAAAGAATTCTCGCAAGATGGCGGAAAGATTCGAGGCAGACATGCGATCCGATTTCCTGCTCTCCCTACCGATACCTTACCGAACAACAACGTATCATCAACCCGACCGATCTAGAAGAAACAATCGGTGCTTCCTCCGCTCCCGTTCTCACCGCGGAAACGCGAACGGGGAACGAAAAAATCGGGTTGCATAGCAATGATACGTCTCGTATTTTCGAGCGGCTGTCTGGGTTCGGCGCCGAGTTCGAAGAAACCGAATCCGTTCTCCGCGGATAGGACTGGTCCGTTCGCGAATCGCGTTACGCATCTCGTTTCGAATTCGGACACCGCGGCCGTACGCGCAGTGGATAGGCGAGGCGATGATAATTCCCGCGGAGGCTTATCCCGACGATGGTCACTGGTAGTCCGTTCTCTCCATTCTCCGCGATGTTCGAGAATCGATCGAACGCTGGCATCGTTGGGCGACGAGGCCTCCCAGGTTTGCTTTGCAGTGTGTAAACAGCCGGAAAAGAGGGCAGAGAGGAACACCGCGTTCCCGCGCGGAGAACAAACGAGAGAGCAAAGGCAGAATTCGAAGAAAGAGAAGTAGAGGGAACGGTTCTTCGCTCGATTCTAGAGTTCTCCCCCGGCTCTGCTGTACGTAGGTACGTAAATACATGAAAACCGCTTTGGACCTATCGTTCGACCGATTTAGAGGCGAGCCAACGGATAAGTGGCAGTTCCTCTGCTCGCAGAAATATCGAATGTACTCCTCGAACGCGATACGAACGCGCTCGTGCTGGCGCTGGTGCTCGTGTTCGTGCTCGTGCTCGCGTTCATGTTCGCGCTGCTGTTGCCGAGTCGTTGCTCGCTGCTGCAACAGCTAGCGAATAAGCTACCGTACAATACCGACGAGTCACGATCGGCTCGTTACCGAGCATCTCCCTCGATATCGCGAATCATGAAATCATGAAAATCATCTACTCTCGGAATGGATCGTTCTTTCTTCTCCTCTCTTTTCTTCTCTTCTCGTCCCTTCTGATCTCTACTCTCCTTCGCTTCTGCCCTCCTTTCCCCCTAGTTCGAATAAGTGTTCGGTTACGCGTTTATTCCATCGTATCAACGATCACCGTCCTAACGCGATTCGCGCTGCCTCGTACCGGGGTTAGCAAACGCGTAATTCCATAGCCCGCGGTTCGTTGCAGGTTCATTCGTTTCTCCCGATCCTCGCGACTCTTCGAAACTCGTTTTCGTGCACCGTCTTCTCCCGATTTGTCCCCAGTTTTTCCCCGCTTTCATAATCTGTCCCGGCAATACTGACGAACTCCTCGTTGAGGGCACCCTTCGATAGCAGCGTCCATTACGCGTACAATAAAATCCACGGTTATCCTTCTAATACCGGCTACAATCTAATTTCAATGGAACAGAACACGGCGGATAGGGTAGAAACCCCGGGCGGGCTATTCGGCCGATCGGAAATGAAATTTCGATCGACGAAAGAGCCTCGTCACCGCCCGGAGAAATCTAACCTACAATTCGCATTAAGCAGCAATTTTTGCTCTACGGGGGGCCCGCCGCTCGAGCACAAAAGCAACGATCCGCGCGCACCGTCGCCGAACAGTTTTTCGAGTTTCGCTCCCGAATCGCGCGACGACCGGACATTCCCAGTAGAAACGCCCGTCGCTAGACACGTTAGATGATCGTCGTCGTCCGTGTAAAAATTGTACAAAGACGATCGACGTTTCTGCATCAGCACAATGCGTGGATTAATTAACATATATAACGACCGCGGCGATTCCGTTACTGTGCTACGTGTCATAACGCGACTTCCTGCGCTCATTAGCCGTAATCGATTGCCTTTTTTTTGTCGCGCTCGCGCGCTATTGCCATTTTCTATATGTTTTGTAAACCGGACGTTCTATCTGCGCGTTCAAGGATCGTAAAAACAATAATAAAAGCGCAGGCCGGTGTTTCCAACGCTCGTTGCGAATGTACGCCGCGGAGATAAGCGTGAGATCGCGAGCACGGCTCGTCGCCGAGGACGCAGTTGCCATTTGCGACTATCGCCGCGCGGAGTAACATTTCTGGTAATACCCCCGAGAATGAATCTCCACGGGGAGCGAGCCCGCGGGAGGTTGGAACCCCGCTGGATAAGAGGGAAACGCGATTACTCGGTTAACAGACCGATTAGAAAATCCGTCCTCGATCCAGTCGCCGATAGAAAGTCGAAAAAACCTATCGGGATGTCGTCCACGGTTATTGTTATTTCCACGGTTCACGGGAGCGAATCGTCTCGGAGCGTCGCGAGTAAATTAGACCAACGAGGCGGTAAAGGAGAAGTTTCCTTACGGGGGATACGGAGTCTCGCGCGATGCGATAAATTGGGAGACGCGTAATCGACCGTAAACCGAGGTTTACCGTTCACTTCGGGTTCGTCGAGTCGTGTAAACCGCGCGCACGGCCGGTCCGGTTCGGTCTCGTTCTAGGTCTGGGTCCCGGCCTCGGTCTCGGCCTCCCCAAATAGCGCGACAAAATTCGCGGCGAAAGTGACGACTCGCGTATCCGTCGTCAACGCGGGGCAACCGGGAGTTCTCTTCGCGCGCGAAAACTCGGAGGAGCTTGGCGAAGTTGGACGTTGCGCAAAACGCTGGACTTCCTATTACCATTTACATACAATCGAATCTATCGCGCATACATTTCCATACGGCAAGCAAGTAGGTCGTCTGCGAGCAACACCGAATAGATGTACTATAGAAAATATTAACGCGGTACGAGCATCTCTCGGCTTTCGCTCCGTCCAGAGATCGTTCTAGCCGTACCGATCCACGCCGGAATGTACGTTACGCGCCGTTAAATCTCACGCCGATATCCGTTTCCTCGTCGGGGTCGCGCCGGCAATGATTCGGCAACGCGGAAACTGAAACGAGACGTTCGGATCGAACAGAGAAGGCTGTCGGGACGGAAAGCGCGAGGCGGCGACAGGTGGGCAACGAGGTGATGCTCGAGGACCGGCTCGTTTTCCATCGACTTTCCGCGAAATATCGGCGACGAGAGCCGGCGCGAGGGGGACGAAGGAACAGGAGGGGACATAAATATTAATATAATAGCACTGATTGCGCTAGATCGCGACGGGTGGCGTGTGCCGCGTGGCGTGCGCCGCGCGGCGGGGTACACCAGGGAACAACGCGTTGCGAATAACGCGGCGGATAGAGGCGGTCGAGGCGAGAAACGAGGGGAAACCGGTAGGGGATGGTTCTGGGTTACGTCCGGTAGCATAGTGACATATCCGAGAGGAACGACCGGATCGCGCGGACGGCCGAGCGAGATCGCGCGCGGAGGAAAACGAAACGGGGGAGGAGAACGGGGACGGTGGATCCTCGCCGATAGAAAGAGAGGGTGAAGATGTCGAGCGAGCGGGAAACGGCCGAAATGAAAATCAAAACGGCAAACGGGAAGGAGTGAGCGAACGCGTCCGAACTGAAAAGAGTCGGCGAGATGGGAAGAGCGGCCGCCGGAGGAGAGAGCGAGATCGCGGGAGGGAAGGAGAGAGGACGGCACCGGAGGGAGGAAGAGCGAGATACGGGGTGCGAACGCGTTCCACCTCGAGCGTCGGGAGGTTTTCCGGGGGCGAGGGTGGCACCACGGGCATTAAATATACACGCTGATTTGTCGTCCGCGGATTGTCACCTCTGATAGCTTTCATTTTGTTGTATATCGGCGGCGGCCGCGCTCGCACCGCTCGCGCGCTACGCTTTTCGACGTAATTCGGCCCGCTTGATTGACTTTTCAGCTGGCCTTTATGGCGATATTCGTTGCGCG